CTTCACTTTTCTCTCCGAGGATTGCTTTGGCTATTCTGGGTCTCTTATTTTTTTCAAATGAATTTCATGACTGCTTTTTTTATTTCTATGAAAAATATAATTGGAACCTTAATAGGAATGGCATTAAATCCATATAATGCTTCTGGTAGCATGGCCATCTTGACAATATTAATTCTGCCTATCCAAGAATATGGGAGATCTTTCCATCTTCTAAGGTCTTATTCAGTTTTTTTCCTTCATGTTCTTTAGTTCTCATTATAGAGGTCTTGTACCCCTTTTTTAGATTGATTCCCAATTTTTTTTGAGGCTACTGTGAATGGGATAGTTTTCCTAATTTCTCTTTCAGTGGATTCATCACTGGTATAAAGGAACACAAGTAGACCAGAGACCCTGTGCCTACTAGAAGAAAAAGTAGGTGCAAATCTTCATCATGTTGGCTTAGGAACAGAATTCCTCAACAAGATTCCTAAAGCACAAGAAGTAAAATCAAGAGTAAATAAATGATATGATATCAAACTAAGAAGCTTCTTCACAGAAAAAAAAACAATCAAGAATGTGAAGAGAGACCCTACAGAATATGAGAAAATATTTACCACCTGCATCTCAAATAGAGCAATAATCTCCAGGATACATAAATAACTCAGACAACTTAACACCAGAAAAACAAATAACCCAATCAATAAATGGGCTAAGGCATGGAAAGAATGGAAGAACTTTAGATAGAGGAAAGGGGGAGAAGGGAAGGGAGGGAGGAAATGGGTAGGAATGATGATGGAATGAGTTAGACATCATTGCCCTAAATATATGTATGAAGACACGAATGGTGTGAAAATACTTTGTGTACAGTGACTTGAAAAATTGTGCTCTATATGTGTAATATGAAATTAATTACATTCTACCATTATGTATAACAAATTAGAATAAATAAATAATTTAATAAATAAATAAATGGGCTAAGGAACTGAACAGACACTTAATAGAAGAAGAAATATGAATGGTCAACAAATATATGAAAAAAATGTTCAACATCCCTAGCAATTAAAGAAATGCAAATTAAAACTACACTGAGATTTCATCTCACTCCAATCAGAATGGCAATTATCAAGAATACAAGCAACAATAAATTTTGGTACAGATGTGGAGGAAAAGGTCCATTCATACACTGCTGGTGGGACTGCAAATTGTGTAACCATTCTGGAAAGCAGTATGGAGATTCTTCAGAAAACTTGAAATAGAACTGCCATTTGACCCAGTTATCCCACTCCTCAGCATATACCTTATGGACTTAAAAATCAGCTTACTATAGAGATGTGGCCACATCAAGGTTATAGTAGTTCAATTCACAATAGCTAAGCTATGGAACCAACCTGGGTGCCCTTTAATGGGTGAATGGAAAAAGAAAATGTGGTATATATACCCAGTGGAATATTACTCAGCCATAAAGAAAAAGGTAAAGATGGTATAATGGATTGGACATAACTTTCCTGTGTTCATCTATGATTACATGACCAATGTAACTGTACATCATGTACAACCACAAAATGGAAACATATACTATATGAATGTATGTCAAAATACATTCTACTGTCAAGTATAACTAAAAACAACAAATAAAAATTTAAAAAATTAACCACTAAAAAATAATCTATGGCAAACTATTAATAATACATTAATATTAGATAATTTTAGTATTTTTTGCCAGAGTTTTTTTTTTTTCAAATTTAACTATATTTATTTAAGCAATGTAGTTTTCTTCTTAGTACTTGTATATTAAATGTGACATTGATTAGATGTATTCAGGAATTCATGATTTTACTCTTTATGATTTTTCATGCTTCTGATAGAATTTATTGTACATTATTAAGAGCATACTCATGAATACTCATGTACTTCTCAGAAATAAGTTCTTATGGAAGAATTTGTTCAATATATTTTAATATAGTCATTTCAGTTACTGTTAACATTCCAAAAACATCATCTGTTAAAATGGATATTGGCATGTATTTTAATATTCTTTTTATTTAGTAATGCTATTTACAAACTAATGAGCACAAGATTCTGTAGCATAGTTTTACATAACTAATGATACATGTCAAATCCATTATTCATAATAAAATTACCAGGTAATCAACATACTTCTAGACTCTATGTTTGTATGATGAGTGACAAAGTTTCTGTAGTAACCCAAGCTACCATTTATTTTGACCTCTTTGCTTCTAACTGCATGAATACATCAGGGTGAACCATAATGGCCATAGGAACAAGTTACTGCTAACCTTAAACAATGTTCTTTTAAAAGCAAGGGCATATATATCAAGAGAACCTTAAAGCTATGTCATGGGAGTTATTTCAGTTGCTTGTCAATAGGATTATAAAGAAATGTTCTCATGACTATTTTTATGTAGGTTGGTAGACATTTATGGCATACTTGTCTTCTGCAGTTTAAAGATCTTATGTTATCGATATTAGATTTGATTAACAAATGTGGAAGTAAATTATTTAGGTTTTACATAAAGATAAGAGTTTGCTAACAGTGAAATTTTAGAATTCTTTTTTCTTTTAGGAAAATAGTACATAAAATTGAAATATTTACTAAGAATTCAGCTGACTGCATCTGATAAATATAAAAGTAGACTTTTAGGATCCAGAAAAATCTGGTTTTGCAGGCATAAAAGGAAGCATGTAGAGAATTTGACATTTAGATATACACAATGCTACACACACAAAAAAAGATAATTTGAGCTCTCTAAAAGGAGGTCTTTTAACTAAAGTCTAAATATAAAATCAAAGATTTGCCATCAGATGGTAAATCTGAAGGTGGTAGCAGTAAAAATGTAAAAATTTAAAATCAGGAAGCAACATATAATCAGTAGGTATTCTTAAACTTATGACATCCTACACTAACTCATGCTAATTTATTTTAACATTTTAAAACAATGACATCTTGGTTTATAAAAGAATATATAATTTCAAATTAAGTGTCACAATTTGCATAAACTCTAATTGTGTCTTCAGTCTATTTTAGACTAAGAATTGCACTTTATGTATCATAAAGTTCTGAATTTCATCACGCTTAGTTTGAATAGTTAATTTTGAAGAACCTGAAGATTCCAGAGCCAATCTCATATTTAACCATGAATTTATCATTTTCATGTGATTAGTATCTGGTAAGACCAATATATTAAATTTTATGTTATTGTCAATTAGTAATGTAATATCATGGATCCACACTTCTGAAATCCAAAACCTGGCTCTGCTACTGGGTGATTTTGGTAAAAATACTTAATTTCTATGTGCCTTGGCTTTCTTATCTGTAAAATGAGAATTATAATAGGTTTTATTTATACTTTTGTTGTAAGAATGAAAGTTAATACATGCATTATATTTTGTTATATAATGATTAAATAAATAATAATTTAATTAAAATATAATGTGATATATGTCACGTTATACATATAATACATATAAATGTGTGTTAGCATGCATAGGAGCACCTTGTATATAGGAAATGTTACCAATTTGTAATGCTGATTTTTTTTTTTATACTTGAAAATTAAAACAAAAAAGCATGCTGGAAATATTTTAGAAATACTAGCATTCTGCAAATTTTATGTACATATCCAAAGCTTCTCCAAGTTAAAAGGTCTTGTTATCTATTTTCCTCATCCATTCATTGCTATTTGTCAATGTTGATCAGGTTTACATCCTAGTAGACAGTCGGATTCCAAGGTGAAACCTTGGTAAGGTCAGATCTAGAAATGTGGATTGAGCATCATCCCCCAAAGGGAGAGGAATTGAGATTAGGTGTGCTCTTCTGTATCCCCCACAACATCTCGTCTTGTCTGGTGTCAAACATTTGGCATCCAGGAAAGGTTGGCTGAGCAAACAGATGTCACCCTTCTTTCTAAGGGATTAAATGCCTCCTCTCTCTGGCCTTCATGCCTTTAAACCTCTAATTAAAGTTTTCCTGAACCCTGTTCTTTTCCTTCTTCATTAGTCTTCTCTTGTTGCATAACAATTACCACAGACTTAGCAGTTTAAAGCACCACACATTTATTGTCTCCACATGTTCATGGGTCAGGAGTCATGCACAGCATAGCTGCATCTGCTCAGAGTCCCACAGGCTACAAGATGCTAGCGGACTGCATCCACATCCCCATTCTTTTTAAGGGACTTCAACCTACTTTTGTCTGCATTGCTAGCAGAATCCATTCCTTGTGGCTGTTAGTCAAGGAACCAGGTTCCTATTGGATGTTGGCTGGAGGCAGCTCTCCACTACTGAAAGAAACCCAGTTCCCTGCCTTTGACCACGTTCACAGATGGTTCACAGCATGCTGGTGCTCAGAGAGCCTCAGCTAGAATGGAGTGATTTAAGGCAACAGGATCACATGTGACACCCCCCCACCACCAACCATTTCATATTCTGTTAGCTTGTAGCAAGTCACAGGATCTGCCCACACTCTACCGACACAAAAGTGTGGATTCCAGGAGGTAGGGATTTCTGGAGATTGCCCAGGGTGTATTCACCCCACTCCTCATTTGGGTTAAGTTCCTATAATACCTCATGTTTATAGCTCTACCTTAATATTGCTGTGTAACCCACTATATACATATGCCCTTGTCTGTCTGTCTCCACCTCTATGTCTCTCTGTCTCCCTCTACACGTAGAACTGGACATTTAGTTGGACTTAGCAAACTTTTATTTTTAACAGCTTTGTTGAGGGACAATTAATCAGTGAACTTTCAGTAAGTGAATGAGAGTAAACATAGGGATGATGTGGTGCAAACTTTAAAGTATTTGGTAATAATTTTTATTCGAATAGTTCCGTGTGATAATGTATTTAGAATTGTGTCAACCCTGAAAGAAAATAATTGTTCCAATGAATTAGAAGATAAAATGGTTTTACGATTAGTTCTAGAGCTGTATACCTTGGACCTTTTTCATAGTATAAACATGATACTTTATGCTATCTAACCAGATTCTTTTTTTTTTCTTTTAGATGAGCAAGAGATTGTACAAAAGCGTACTTTCACAAAATGGATCAACTCTCATCTGGCCAAGGTAAGGGAGACAACCCAGAGTTACAGGTTTGCATAGTTTCAGCCAAAAAGTCATGAAGTGCACAATGTGGAGGGATGTTGCTGTTGTTTTTGTCACCATTACTGATCAATGACATTGGCCATCCTATTCGCTGGTTTAATCGTCACCTAAATGAGGCATTTACAGACTTTGCCTTTGGAAAGAAATGGACTGACAGCCAGTCAAGAGCAGTTACTTCATGTCAATCCCATGGATCTTGCTCAAATATTTCACTGTTATTACTTCTATCTTAATTGTCAGAGTCTTTGCTCAGATGTGCTTATGTCTATTTGGAACAGGAAGAAAGAATAATTGGTCTGTGCTGAGCAAAGAGGTTTATCTGAGGAGGTGACAACAGTGCCCCTCCCAGGTGCTTTGATGAAAAATAACCCTGAAAGCAAGACACTGGAAAGATTGACATCTTTCCAAGATTGTCCATATTAGGTTGTGCCAGGTGATCTTAGTCTTTCTAGTGTGCATTCTAATGTCTTTGCACATAACTACGATATAAAATAAATTTTAGGGTGGTCTTTCGGTCACAGAAGACATGCTCTCTAAGGGGTTTGTGGGACCCCAGCCCCTCCTCTTTTCTCAATCTGGATGTGAGGTGAACGGCTTTGCTCTTCCACATGCCCCCTCCCCATGATGTGCTGCCTTGCTAAAAGCAATGGGCTGACTGTCCATGGGCTGAAACCTCCATACTGTAAACCAAAGTAAATCTCAATAACAGAGTGAATTAATACATCCCTGAAGTCCCCTTCCCTCCCTTTTTTTTTATACTTCAATAGCAAACAAAGTGTGGCAGTTGATTTTAATTCCTTTCTACAGATTAACTGTGTACCTGCGTCTCTGCTAGGTTTTAGGGAAAGGAAAATATAGTAGAAAACATTCCCAGGACTTGAGAAGCTCACAATCCAGCAATAAAGAAATAGAGCAATGTGTCTAGGTGCAGGATAAACTGGGATCACCTTTCCTAAAATCTCTTTCCAAAAGCTACTTGATGAGAGGAGAATTCTCTGGTCCAGTGGTTGCACCTAGAATCCGTCCTGTTCCTCCTTCCTTTCTACTCCGTGACTGCAGTAGGCCTGAGTACTCTGGGGGCTCATTTCCTCAAACCTGTTGACAGCCAGACTCTACTTACACTACAGAATTGGCAACTATCAGGGAAGATTTTTATTTCCAAAATGAAAATAGAGTTATTGTTTCTCATGCCGTAAAAAGGCTACATGCTAACTGTAAGTAATATTAATAATGAATTTCTTTAGAAAGTGTAAAGAATGTTAAAGTGACCTTAGATTACTACACAATCTAGTTAGACGTATGACTCAAATATTATTTTCCATTTTTCTTTTGATAGTGTACCTCTTCACATGCCCAGAAAGATTCTAATCTAGAAAAGAACCTGAAGTCCCTGTGTTTCCCCAACATTACACACTAGTGCATGAATGATATAATTTTGAAATGCCCAGAAAATTACCGTATCCATAAAAACCTATTATAAACTTAACCATATGTTATTTTTTAATCGTCTGTACTTGTCATTTCTTTTCTTCTTGGGCCACTTTGAAAACTAAACAGTGAAATAGAACAATACGTGAACTTGTTCTCCTGAACTTATTTATGCCAATGTTATGGTGTTTCATTAAACATAGCCCAAACCTAAGAAAGCGTAGGATGATATTTTAGTTTTCTGACTCCTTATATTTGGAAAACTTTCTGAAATGAGATCTGGCCCCAGTTCCCTGCTGTGGCAATTGAGAACTCAAGGAGAGCTGTAGGGTTGGTGTGTCTGTGTTTGTCTCGGCAGCTGACCACATATTGCCACTCATCTGTCCCCATCCTTTGCCCTCCTTGTTCCCACTTGAGGTCCTGTTTACAGCTCTCTCTCTCTCTCTCTCTCTCTCTCTCTCTCTCTCTCTCTCTCTCCCTCTCACCTCTCTTCCATCCCATTTCAGTTGTCCCTTCCATGCCATCTCCTCTGCCACCACACCCGCAGCCCAGCCCAGTCTCTTTTCCATCTCTATCTCAGTCTCCCTGTCCCTATCTTTACCCTATTCCATCTCTATTTGATTTGTGTACTAGTCCTATAAAACACATTTAGTCTGAAAATCCGAAACTTCACAGTGTCGTTGAGGTTGTATTTACGTATGTCCTCAAGTTAAAAGGGAGGCAAACACTTCCCTCCCCATGATGGGTCCTCACTTACTTCAAGGAATTCTAAGAATGAGAATACCTCACCTATGACAAAAGCAGTCACTTTCATATGTGATCTGGCCTCTGGACCTTGTGTCACTTTTCCTGATGCTTTGTAAGAAGGCTTGCTGCCAACACCACTCCGGGTGCTAGAGCATGCTTGGACCCTTCATTTTAGCATACATGGGCTGTTGCACTAACCACACATGCATACACACACACACACACACACACACACAGTCAGCTAATTCCTTCAGGAGCATGTGCCCAGGGTCTTACTAAATCTCTCAAGGATATAGCTTCTTAAATGTGGGGTTCTTGTCTCTTGATCATCAGCAACACCCTGAAATCTCCCCCAAACAATAGGTTTTCAGTCACAGAGCAGGCCCAAAGCTATGTTTCAGAACATTTCTCTTTAGAAAAAATAATCCACAAAGAAGAAGCTTGACTCATCTGAAAGTCTTTCCTGATCTTCCAGAGCTTTTTGGAGTCATGTTTCCCTCTTCTTGCTTGTTGAGTAACCAAAACTGTTGGCTTTTAGTGGACCTGGGGTACCAGGGTTGAGGATCAGGTTGAGTCTGCTCTGGTGTGTTTTTCCTGCATTGCTAATTCTCCATTGTCTAGTAATGACTCAGCCTGTTGTGTCAGTGAATTTGGGTCCTGCTTAGTCGATTCAACCTGTTGTAACAAAATACCAGAGGCTGGGTGGTTTAAACAGCAGACACTTATTCCTTACAGTTCTGGAGGCTGGGAAGTCCAAAATGAAGGCACCAACAGATTTGGGTTTTGATGAAGGCTATTTTCCTTGTCCCTGTGTTTCACATGGCAGCAGGAAAGAGCTATGGTCTCTCTTCATCTTCCTATAAGGCCACTAATAAATCACACAGTGGGGCCCCACATTTGTGGCTTCACCTAAACCTAGATACTACCCAAAGGCCCCACCTCTAAATATCACCATATTGGGGTTAAGTGTTCAACATATGAATTTTGGTGGGGATACAAGCCACAGAACTTTAGTCCGTAACAGGCCTCAAGTTCAGTCTGAAGTCTGACTGGAAGCAAATGAGAAGTTCTGAATCTATAACACAGGGGTGGGAACTCTACCCTGAAAACACTTACCCCTATTCCTGGTGGATGTTTTCTTTGGAATTTTTCCACTAACCTGACAATGAAACCATTGAGAATGGTTGAGTTGCATTCTATTCCTTGGTCTTATTGATTGTCCCCTTTCCTATAGTTTTTTGTTTACATTTACTAATAAAAGTAAGAAAATGAACCGTGTTGAAAGTATATTTTTTTTCTGGTAATCAGAATAATAGCTTCAAATCACCTGTTACTTATGCTACATGATGTTCCAAGTTATTTTATATCTAAAAACAAGAAAAAGTGTCAAATTGACTAGGAAAAAGAATTTGACATTTTTCTGGAATGCAACTTGTAAATATTTCACAGGATCTCTGTTGTCTGAGAACTTTTGCATAGTAGTCATGGAAATTGGTATGTATTTAAGTTAGAATGGTAAATCATAAATCCTGTGATAATATTATGCCTCCTTTAATGTTTATGAACCATCTAAAGATAATAAAATTTTATTTTTTAGTTTTTATTGATTATTTTGTGGTGCTGGGGATTGAATGTAAAGCCTCATGTTTGGCAATCCACTGAGCCATATGCTCAGCCCCCCAATTTTTATTTTAAAGGACAATTTGAAAGACTGTCTTTGGAAAGCAAATGTATCTATTTTCTCAAAATCTTCTTTGCAAATTGACTTCCCAAAACAGCATTGATAACAGATAATGGCAGGATTAAGAGTTGAGATGTTGAGTTGAGAAGAAAAAATGTTGGTGGTCTTGTTCTTCCCAAGGTCATTAAATCTTGGGTGCATCAGAGGCTATTGGAAATGATTTTGAGAGTGAGTTTGAAGAGGTTTTTTTAATAAGAAATTTTCATTTTGTTCTTGATTGCTTGTCTTGGTTTCACATCAATATATGACATATTAAATAAGAAACTCTTCTACTGATGACATTCTATTCTATTATAGCAATTATTTATAAATATTATGACAGAAGTTATGAAGAAATAAGATACAAACAAAAGTCCAATATGTTTTTGTAAAATATACTTTTCTTAAACAAAATATTTTATCAAAAATAGGGGGCAAACCTAAGGATTTTCCCTCTGTGGGTGTTTTATATCACTCTTAGTGCACAGATATAGATTATTAAAATTTATGGGTCTAATTAACTTTTCATTTTTTGATGTTTGCTTTGTTCCTAAATGGAAGTTTTTATGTCTCTGCAATTATGCAAAGAATCGAAAATCACAAATTGTCAATATGCTACAATATGACATTCACAAAAATTAGTAGTTATAGTTGTTTCATATACTCCATCATCTGTTTCAGAGATGGGACTCCCTTTTTAGACATGAAACCTATAATTTTCTTTTTATCAAGAAGAAACATTTTTTCTGTTAGTTCTGTTAATGAAAGAAGATTAAATATTTCTTATTTAATTAGCCCAATTTATTTTGAGTGGTAGTTTTTCAAAGTTAGGTTCCTGATGCAGGTCTAACACATTAGCACTCATTGTTGGGATGCATTTCTAAACTGAAGGGATGCTGTTTATTGAGCACTTGTCATGTGCCAGTTATGGTGCTTTAACAACTGTATCTTATTTTATTTAATCCTAACAACATTCAAATGTATCATTTTTATTCTTTTATAAGTTATAAGCCTGAAAAGTTAATTAATTAGCTTAGGGTCACATAACAAAGGACAAAGCCAGGTT